TTCTTTTTTAAGAGTACATTCAGCTTCCAAAATTCTATCATTCTATGATTTACTAGTGTCTGTTACTCTTGAACAGAGATGGATTGTAACCCAGAGTGTTGGTAACCACAGACAACTGGCAGCAATGGCATTGGTGGGTGACTGCAGTTTTGTCAGTCCTTGCACTGATGAAAATTAGAGATATTCCCTTTAATAATACCAGGTTTTTAATAAGGTAAATTTGCACTTGTACACATGGAGACTTTTTTCAGTTTAATAGTTTATATTAGAGGTATGAATCATGTTTATAGAAAAGGATTTTAGTTTCCAGTGCACGAAATAAGTGAGCCGAGTCAGATTTTCCAAGACACAATATCCAAGGCACTATTATTAGATACATGCTGAGTCTCAAGAGTCGGGTGTATACTTGAATTGGTTTATCACTAAATCTCATGCACTGTCATCTCATTGTACTGATTGAACTCAGTGGACATTTTGAGCACAATTGGTGCTTTCTAGTCAATTCTCTTTGATAATCCTGAACACTAAAAAGATTGAATTCAAATTATATATATTTTGTGTTAGATGTCATATATTATTACAGTATAATTTCATACAGTGTAGTTAACAAGTGCCTATCAAAATAGCTTTAGAATGGAAATGTCTAACTGAAATACTAAAGTTTAGAAATGCAATTGGTCCCTTTAATATGAACTTTCTAATCACAGACTCCTTATGGTCCTTTAAAAAGTTGTTGGTATAGATTTCCGAAAATGAAAGGCATGCCACTCAGTGGGTAGAAAGCAGTATTGCAGGGAAGAAACAGCTAGGATCGCATTTATGATCCTGGGTTTCAGGATGTTGTCAACATGCACCAGGGAGATGGATGAGCAAGCTGAGACTAAGAAAGGTTATGTGAGTTGTTCTACAATTAACCCGATGATTAATATTAGTGTCACGACCATGTTTGTATTAATAGAGACACATGATGCCAAAGAAAGCATTAATTCATTTACAACAGTAATTTTGAACCAGGAGTGATTTTGTGTCCCCCTACATTCCCAGGGTATATTTGGCAATGTCTAGAGACATTTTTAGTTGTCACAATTGGGGTGTGTGTGTGTGTGTGTGGGGGGGGTTCTGTTGGCGGGATGCTGCTAAAATCCTACAATGTATAGGACAGTCCCACAACAAAGAATTGTTCAGCCCCAAATATTAATAGTGCTGCTGCCGAGAAACCTGGTTTATAAAAATTAGTCTCACATGTTTTTGAACTCAGAAATGCTTCGAATAGGTTTAGTCAAAACTCTTTTTCAGGGCCGGCCGGGTGGCGCAATGGATAGTGCGCCGCTTGGGAGGCGCGGCGGCGCTCCCGCCCAAGGGTTCGGATCCCACGCTCTTTTTCAGATGTTAATACAATTAGACCAGTTTTGCTTCTTAATGAATAAACTATACTTTATAATTTGGATTCATCTTACCAGCAATAATTATGTAATTTTGTAAACCACTTCTAAAAGTTAGGAAAAGTTTGAATTTTCACACATAATTTTCCCAAATCTTTCCTTTCCTTCTTACCAATTCAAAGCCTTCCCTCCTTCATTCCCTATTTCCTTCTACTATGCCCCATTTCAATAAACTAAATAACTCAAGCACTGACCAGACGCAAATACAGGGAGCACATTTAAAATATAGATGGAACTTGTCTTTTCGGTGAAATTATTATTTAATTTACCTTAGAATTTTTAAAAGAAAAATTCTTAGGCTCTAGTCAAATGGGACCAAGCTTATTCTTAGTTTTGAAATAAAACAAATTTCAGATTACTTGTAGCATCTGAGGTGATCAATTCCTTTTTGTTGGAATTAATCTGTTTAAGGTAAGTAAAGTGCTTGATTTACCTTCTTTAAAAAAAATTTCTGATGTTTTTCATTATTGCCTCATTGGTATTAAAAACAAATTTAATTATGTCCCAGAAAGATACTGCCAAAGACACATGACTTAGAGATGTTAGAAGAATAACTTCATATTAAG